ACCCACACCCACACCCACACCCACACCCACACCCTCAGGAACTGTCTTGGTGTCTGTGGCAACACGGTCGAGCCCCAGACTCACTGACATATGTCACCGGATGGGTGCATGTGGATGATGTGAGTGCTGCCGCGCGTGTACGAGCGTTACGCTTGCCACCAGGATGGTTTCGAGTCGCGTGCGCGTGAACAGAAACAAGAAAGTTTTTTTGATTGGAATGCAATTTATTGAATTGAAAAAAATTGAACACGGTGATTCAAATGATCGACGACATAGAGATTGCCTTGTGGATCGAAGGACAAACCACGGAGATAATGGAACTGATTTGCGCCTACTCCTCTACCATTTCCACCCACAATGATAGTACCCTGTTTTGCTGTTTTAGGCCAACGCATTACTCGATCATTATTGCAATCTGCCATATAGATGGTACCCAACGTATCGACGAAGAGTCCGGCAGGACGAGACAATTGTGTCAGAGCCTCCCCTTCACCTTGACCTCCAGCAACGACAATGCCTTCTTTTGCACCTTTATTCCATTTCATTACACGATGATTGTAGCAGTCTGGCACGTAGACAGTCTGTTGTTGATCGACAAAGATGTAAGTTGGAACATTGAGTCGACTGAGATCAGCACCTTTGTCATTTCCACCAGCCACGATAGTTCCATTCTTGTCTCCTATTTGATATCGTCTTACTTCATGTTTTTTGTAGTCAGAGACGTAGAGGTATCTGTGATCATCCATGAACAATCCACAACAAGCGATGTTGTCAATGAGGATTTCACCTTGAGTTGTGCCATTACGACGAGACCATCGTACGACTCGTCTATTTTCTGAATCGCAGATAATGAGACTATCAGTCGCTTTGTCGATTAGCACATCGGTTGGGAAATTCAATTGATCTAAGCGATTTCCTTGACCCTTGCCACCAGCTACAACTTGTCCACTTGTATCACCCATCTTCCATTGGACGATACGATGATTCCTGTAGTCAGCAATGATCATCGTTTGATCATCATCAACGAAGAGACCTTGAGGCCAATTGAGTTGATTGGTAGCATAGCCTTGTCCATTACCTCCAGCAACGGTCTTTCCATATTGTAACCATCGTGCATCGATTGGAATACTGGGAATAACTACAATGAACAAAGAAAATGAATCGTCGTCATTGTCGACGAGATCTTTGTCTCTCATACACGAGAAAGTACTTTCCGTAATTTATTCTATAAGAAAAGAACTTTGTGAGAATTCTTTTATGTCGACAAGTATTTCTAATATCTGAAATGTTAAGCTTGCAAAATTTTAAGGGGATTTCGATGTACGAGTTCATCTATGTAAAGAACACAAAATTTTGCAAACATGAAAAGAAAGAAAAAAAGACAATGAATAGTTCTTTTTGTAGAGTTTGAAGTCTTTCTTGTTTCTCTCTTTCTCTTCTCATACTCATCAATTTTCTGTGTTCTTTCAAAATTTCAGCACTTTTTTTCTTTCTATATCATTTCCAAGGGTATTGATTAATCTATCCAACGGTATAGTTCCCTTTTCACTTATTCTCTAGACTGAAGGGAGGGTCATCTCAAATAAAATCTGCCAGTATGTGTCACAGTGAAAAAAAACATTGTCTGAAACAATAATGCTCACTTCTTTTCTACATCTACTGCGGTAAAGCTTGACAAAAAGTTTTATGGGATTGAGGAATCGATTAGTACCATTTGTTTTTGAAAACTTTCAGATAGATGTTTTAGTGAAAAATGGCTTGTTTTAGCTCAAAGAAAAACTGTGCTCCAAACTACGTAAACTAAAAATTAGGAACTCATTTTAGGAACCACTTTGGATGGCAGTAGCATCACCTGGAATGGTACTAGTATCAATTGGTATGCTAGGAGCATCAACTGGGATGCTGGAAGCATCAACTTGGATGCTAGGAGCATCAATTGGGATGCTAGGAGGATCATTTGGGATGCTAGTAGCATTAACTGAAATGCTAGTAGTATCACTTGGGATGCTATTAGCGTCATTTGAAGCGCTAGTAGCGTCATCTGAAATGTTGATAGCATCCTAGCTGATGCTACTAGCATCCAAGTTGGTGCCCTAAGATCCCAGGTTATATATCTAGTGAACATTAGTTATAAATCCCGAGCTAGTATCTCAGTGGAATGCGATCTTACTGCGATAAACCAGAAAACATAGATTGTGTTTTATTGGGAAATGGTGGATGGGTAAGTGAGCTCCATGTTCGAAGTTTACATGTGGACCTCACTTTTTTGAACTCGTTTTCGAGGAAAACAATGATTTTTTATCAACTTGAACTAAAGATTTTCGGGGTCGACGAATTGATTGGTGGCATTGGTTTTTGAAAATTTTCGAATGATTTTTTTCACTGAAGAAAGGTTTTTTGAAGAAAATCATGGTTTCTCATAAAGTTTGACTTAACGTGCTTGAGAGTTGAGAACTCGGGTCTGTCAATGATTCCTGAAGATCAGTGAATTCGAGGATCACAATGTGGGATATCATTTCAGTCAATAATGTATCACAGAGTGCACCAAATAATTCGTTTTACTTCAGAATAGAACTAATCAGCGTTTGCAGAATCGGTGCCTTATTTTCTGGCAAGCATTTTTCAACGTCATATAGGTTTCAAATCGTTGTTTTTCTATGGTATTTGTTTGAGATCATCGAGGAGACGAACACGATGATGAGTTATATGAATTTAAAAGCTATGCAGTGTAAACGTATATTTTTTTGTTCCCTCGATTGTAGGGAGGCTGGTGTGAAAAGAATTGGAAAGATTTTGTCTGTCTGTCTGTTTATGACAGGGTAAAAAAAAACAAAAAAGGTGCATTTGTTTTCATAACGGTCGACGAAAGTCGATTTCTCATAATTTTGAGTTGATTTTTTGGGTTCAGGAAAGGGTTTTTTTCTGAGAAATTAATGATATTTTCTTGAATTAAGGGAGGATCATATAAAATAAAATAAGTTTCCATGTGTCAGGGTCAAAACAACGCCGGAGTCAAGGAAATATCGACCAAAAGATTAATAGTCAATTTGAGAGGAAGAACAAATATGCTGGGGCTTCGTTGTAAGAGAATTAGTGCATGGATTTAATTCAATCATGACAATGCACTGCGAGATGTTTGATTAAGTAAAACTCTTTTACAAAATAGTCGCCACTGAAAATACTATAGATAGTTTTTCGTTTGTTCATGCATTGCACAATAATTGTTAAAGCAGAACAGAGAAAATGATAACAAGATTGAATTCAGTCGAAGGTTAAGTCAGTCCTGCGGATGAGCGTTATTTGTTTCATATCTTGATAAGAAACTAGATGAATTTTGAGAAATGAAGGAAAAAAAAATCTTTTTTTCTCTGTATACTGTCTTGGTTTTCTCCACAAACAATTGATGTAAAAATTTGAAGTATTTATTCTGATCGAGTAGCTTTTAGTCATGTAATTATCACAATCTTTGCCCATTAATATATGACTGACTAGAGCAACAATTTTTGATTTTATTGATAAATAAGATTTTTAAAATTCCACTAGTAAAATCTATTTGTCTCCCACTATTCGAAATAGCTTCATACTATATTTTATGTTAGATAGAGTAATCCATGTTCTATCAAATTAAATAGAAAGAAAAATTCTTGAAGTGTTTGGCGGAAAACAAGCTGATAGAAGGAACTTCTTCTGAATGAGTTTTTTTTGGGAGAAAAGAAAAGAAAAGTTATTTAAAATTCAAGTTGTCAGTCTAAAAATAGTCCCAATCAAGTAGTGTTTTACAACACTCAATTTGTTTCATTGTGGAAAATTACTTAATTACGTTGAGTTTCAGTGAATCAGTGCTGATCTTTGTATTGTCAACAGTGTATTTCTGGTGAAGTAGCTTATATCTCCACGAAAAAAAGAATAAAATGTTGGGAAACTATTACCGTGTACTACAAAAGTTGCAATTCACTCGTATCTATGTGCATCTATTTGTTTCTTTTCTGTTTAATAAATGAGAAAAGTATTATGAACTTCGTTCATTTCTTTGCCGATTTGCTTATCCTTATACAGGATGTTTCCAAAAGTTCGCTCGAAAAAGAAATGTGATTCTTTCTTTAACTTTTCAAGCGATTTACTTGAGGTTTTTCTAGTTTCATTTCAAAAACGTCCCATTGGCAACATATCTGTAAAAACTTTACGTACATTTTTATTTTGAAATTTTTTTTTGATCTTATTATGAATTTTCATATCCAACTTAATGAGATCTTTAACCGATGTCTTGCAAAAATGTTTCTAAGAACAATCATCGAGTCACATCAGACCAACTAACCTATTGCACTTGTTTGGAGAGATGTTCTTTAAAAATTACAGACTTCACGGCTAAAATGTGGAAGAGTTTCATCTTGGTGAAATACTATAGGGTTCATCTAGCATAATGTTCGTAATTCTAGAATACAAGAAAGTCTAAACGTATAATAAAATTTTTTTTTTCGTTGAAAATGTTACCGCCAAAAAAATTGTCCCAACAGTCGATTTCCCAACATTGCAACATAAATGTTGTCTTTCAAAGACTGCATAACAATATCAATAGTTCTATGTGAATTTTTTTCACTCCACTATCTCGCTATATTTTAACATGCTCTTAACAGTTGTTATAGAAATTTTTAAAATACAAATTTACGTAATGTTCTTACAGGTATATTGCAAAGGGGAAGTTTGAGTATTGCATTTGTAAGTAATCTTTTTGTATATTTGTTATAGACAAATTTGTATGAAATAAAACTTTAATGAATATGAAATGAAACTATAAAAACATCAAGTAAATCGCTTGAACAGTTCAAGAAATAATCATGTTTCTCTTTCGGGCGGACTTTTGGAACATCCAGTATAAGTAGTTTGAATTTTTCAATTAAGAGGATTCCTAGAAAACAACTGAGCAATCAAATAACCGTCATTAGAAATGACTGACTGCTTAGTAAGAAAGCTCTTCAAACATAGACTATTGATAGCTCAAGAAAAGCGCAGAGAGATATGTTTAGGAACATACGTCTCATCTCGTTTTTACAGACTACATTTTAATGTCGTTCAGAAATGTGCTTTGCACTCAAAGGCAAGGTTTGATTAAAAAGAATTCGGAGTACACCATTCAAAAGCTCTTTCAATATGGATTGTGACCAGTGTTTTATCCAGAGGGGTGCTCGGGGGGGCCGCGCCCCCCCGAAAATCGAGTTCGCCCCCCCGAAACTTGTGATCATCGTGCTATGAACACGTGGCTTGCCCCCCCGAAAATAATTTTTCGCCCCCCCCGAAATTCCAAATCGCCCCTCCGGAAAAAAAATCCTGGATAAAACACTGATTGTGACTAGGTATTCTTTATTATTGTAAAAGCTGTTTTACTAGACGAAAAATCGAGAGAGACTTTAAGGATGTGATAAATAGGATACAACTCATTCTATGATTGAATGTCGGTGAATATTTCTGAGTACTGATTCTTCTAGCAATGCCTTCTCATCAGCTGCACACCCCATAAATTAATCATAACTCCAGCATGGAGATCACCTATCGAGAGGGATCATTTTGAACCTTTTTTAAGACTCAATTGGTACTACTGATCGGTAAAATACCACTTCGATAGACGAATGGATCAACTTTGTGAGAATACTCTATCGAGATCGTGCTATACTTCTTATGTCAGTACTCATGAGGCATCGATTGGAATATTGAAAATAACTACAATGAACAAAGTACTTTTCGTAACTTAGTCTTTAAGAAAAGGACTTTGTAAGAATTCTTTTGTGTCGACAATTATTTCTAATGTCTGAAATGTTAAGCTTTCAAAAAGAAAACTGGTGAACATGAAATTCTAAGTAGATTTCCATGTTCTACTTAAACTCATTGTCTCTCTCTCTCTCGATTATGACATCTTTTTTAATGTTGTAAAACATTTTTAAACGTCTTACTGTCATGCAAATTCACTTTGTGGGTGTGACTTCTTTCTGTAAATTACATTTTAAATTATTTAGAAGAAAACAGCTTATCTGTTTCTTCAGTGAAATCAAGGAAAACTTTAACCACTTTATCTCGTATTTATGCTTGAGAAGGTTAAAGTTTGTTTTTGTCTTTCATTACTCACAAAACTTATCGAATGCGATTCAGATGAGAATGAAAAACAAAAAAATCTCATTCAATGTTTTTGATTTGAGTTTTAGAA